AGGGGAGCTCTGGTGGTCTAGTGGCAAGAAGCTGCAACTACAATCCCAGAGGTGCACGGTTCGAATCCACCAGATGCTCTGCCGGGGAAGGAGGGGCAATCTCCTCCTGTACCAGTCAGATCTGATTTGACGGTACACGCACACAAAAAGAATAAAATTAAAAAAAAAAAATCTATTACACTATGGTGCAATGACTATGGAAGGCAATACGGTGCTTTCTCAAAAAGTTGGAAACAGAAATACCATTTGACCCAGCAATTCCACTATTGGGAATTTTCCTTAAAGAAACCAGAACCACCACCCAAGCAGATATATGCACACCCACGTTTATTACTGCATTGTTCACAAAAGCAAAGAGACAGAAGCAACCCAAGTGCCCATCAACAAACGAAGGGATAGAGAAGCTGTGGCATATTTACACAATGGAATACTATGCAGGACTAAAAAACAAGAAACTCATAAAATATTATACAAAATAGGTGACCCTGGAGGACATTAGGCTGAGTGAAATATCTCAGTCACAAAATTACTGCATAATGCCACTGTTGTAAAACAGGACTGACATGGGGGTTGGGGAAAACAAAAGAGTGGATAAATAATGTACACTGAAACAGATGAGGGAAAGAACTGCTTAAAAGCAACATATGATTGGGTATTATTTGTATGGCAACAGTCCAGAATAAGAGCTGCATAGTAAAGTGGACTGGGGTGGGGGGAGGGGAATTGTACAACAAGGAAAGATTCCGCCCCACCCCCCAGAAAAGAGAACTGGGGGGTGGGTAGGGAGGAAAATGTGCAACAATGAAGGAATGGAAATCCCAGTTCTCTGTAAACTTTCATTAAAATCTAAAAAAAGGAAAAAAAAATCCATTACTCTAGACCAAAAAAAACCCCCTACCTACCAAACCCAAAAAACCCTTAAACCCATTGTCTTCTGAGTCTAAAGGAAAACACCACCACAAAACTCGACTCATTGGATTTCCAAGTCGATAAATTAGATGGGAGAAAATGGCCTTTGTTTCTCCCATAAAGCCACAGGTAAACTGGTTAGCTACCCCAAAAGGGGTTTCCTCTCTGGTACTGTATTCTGTAATCTCATGGATATATATGTAGTTTTCTGAGCATGCCAGTATCTTTCCTGCTTCTGTCTAAACTACTTTTTTTCCCTTTTGCATTTCTTCTTCTCAGAAATCTTCCTTAAATCTTAGAAATAATCTCTCTATAGGTCATTATGTTAAAAAAAAAAGACAAAATGGTGACACTGGCAAGCAACCAGTGGCATAGAAAGGTAATGATACTTCATACTCCCTCTTCTACTCACCACCACCACCACCACCACCACCACTACTACCAATACCTCAAGGTTCTCACTGTTAGGTGCCACTTAGTCAACTCTGACTCATAATGACCCTGTGTACAACACAACAAAACCCTGCCCAATGGCACAGGACCACTGAAACAGAAGCAGTAAAAGCAGCTACCACTCTCAGGATGCTTTCTATATGTCAGGGCTAACTTTTTTACCCAACGATGCCTTTGGTTCTTTCTTATTTGTGCTCTGTCCTGCTCATGTTTCTTCCCTTTTATTATCCTACTCATAATCTTAATAATAATCCTCACTAGTCTCTAGGCAATAATAATTTAGCTGCTCAATTTGTAAAACAAAAACATTGTATGAGGAAATAAAACCCCTACTCATCACACTTTTTTACACTCTTTTTAAAAATAACAGATTATATTATTTGATTTTCTCCTTTACACTTTACCTCATCTACCTCTGTATTCTCAGTATAAATACAATATTTTTAACTTTAAAAAAATTCACTGATTTTACAACATACTGAATAGTAAGTTTCCCCACACATGAAATATTTTACTAAGTTCTTTTTTCAGACTTTTGAAGTATCATACACTCACAGTGAAATTTTAATTACAGCAGCTAACATTTATTGAGTGCTAACTGTGGGCAAGGCACTATTTTACATACTAAAAATAATTATCCCACTTACTCTTCTTTAAAATGCAATGAAGTAAGTACTATTATCACTGTAAACTACTAAAACAATACAAAACCAAATAAAAATCCTCTATAATCTCACCACCCACTAGCATGCACCATTAGCAAAGTAAAATATTCCCTTTCCACCTTTCTCTTACCAAACTTGATAGTTTTTGGGCTGTTCCTCAATTATTGCAGTGATATAGTTCATTTCTTCATGAAGATCCTTTTGAAGTGACTTTAAGAGAACTCTCCGAAAGTGCCTATAGCAGACAAGCAACCAAAGTTGTCTTATCCACATAAATTGTGTGTCTAGTAACAGCATCCAATAAAGTTACAAAGTAGCTGGATAAAATTTCTTTTGTTTTTTATAAAAGTAAAATTTGGCAATGTGATAACCAATGAAAGTCTCAACTCACAAAACTAGTGATCAAAAGAATCAAGCATTTTGAAGTAAAAATAAACATCTAAGATACGGAAAAAAATAAATTTTAGGATTTTAAAGGAATGAAAGAAATGAATTAAATGTTTATCCTCTAACAGATAGTTATGGGATCACTAGTAGCACCATGATTAAACTACATGGCTATGAACCAAAAGCTAGTGGGTTCAAACACATCAGCTGCTTCACGTAGCCTTGAAAACACCATGGTGAGGATCTACTAGGTCCTTGTAACATGAAATCTACCGGCTTCGGTTTGGGTACGATTGTCACAGTGTTCTACTCAATGAAAATCAAACGGCTCTCTCTTTCCCTGTATGGAGCAGCTTCTTTCATGTAGAGAGACATAATAAATTCCATTACAAACATTATCAAAATAATTTTCTTCTAATACCACCACAAGAATGTTATTTATAAAACAAGAGTCTCTTTAACTTCCTCCTGACTAGAGTTGAATCAATAAATTATTTTCGTATAAAGAGTTAATTCTGGTCTATTTTTACATTAAAACGGCAAACATTTCTGGCTAAATATTTAGTAACAGATAAGTTCAGGAGCTGTTTTAAAAGGCAATCTTTTCTTCTTATTAGTTAAAGTAAGATTTCATAGAGTACATAAATACAAGAGGTTTGTTTTTTATGGTTAATGATTTCAGCTGTACAGCTATTTTTAAAGAAAATAAAACTTCTTAGCAGATTCATAAACATACCCCAAGTCGTACATCCTATGTAGAATGAAGAATTTCTTAAAAGTTGAAAAAGTAAACATAATAGACTCAAAAGTATGAAATATCATTTCTAGCCAAACATGGTAGACTCAATAAATGAGGCTTTGTTCTGAGGTGCCATCAAGTCGATCATGACTCATAATGACCCTATGAACAACAGATATGAACCTTGCCCTGTCCTGGGCCATCTTTACCATCTCTGCCATGTTCAAGCCTACTGTGTCTCTGACCTGCAAATTACTCTGAATTTCTTACTCCCTAATAAAAGGTTACTAAAGTGAGAGTCCATCTCATCTCTCCAATGACCAGGCAACACAGAGGACTCCCACAATAGCTTCTGACACGCCTCCAGGTAACAAGCCCCAAGGCGGAGCCTAAACCAGTTAGGCAGAATGTTAAATGATCCAGGAGGTATCAAAAGAAGATGGAAGGAATATACTGAGTCATTGTATCAAAAGGAATTGGCAGATACAGAAGAATTTAATGAAATAGCATTTGAGCCAGAGCCTATGGTGATGGAGGCAGAAATTCAAGCCGCTCTGAAGGAAATAGCAAAAAATAAGGCCCCCGGAATAGATGGTATACCAATTGACATATTTCAACTAACGGATGCTGCCCTGGATGTGCTCACCAAATTGTGTCAAGAAATCTGGAGAACAACCACTTGGCCAACTGACTGGAAGAGATCGATATTTCTTCCCATTCTGAAGAAGAGTGACCCAACAGAGTGCATAAACTATAGAACGATATCATTGATTTCACACGCAAGTAAGATTCTACTGAAGATTATCCAAAAACGACTGGAACAGCACATCAGAAGAGAACTGCCAGAGGTCCATGCTGGGTTTAGAAGGGTTTATGGTACTAGGGATATTGTAGCTGATGTTAGATGGATCTTAGCTGAAAGCAGGGAATACCAGAAGAATGTCTATCTGAGTTTCATTGATTATGCAAAGGCATTTGACTATGTGGATCATAACAAACTGTGGCTGACTCTGAGAAGAATGGGAATCCCAGAACA